GATCAAAATCATCTTCTGTTTGGACAGAATCAGATTATTTTGCATGTGTAGTGTACTATCAAACGTGTGGATTAGCTACATAATGGATAAATAGAAACTATTCTTACTTTGGAAAATAATGCAACAACTATTGACATACTAGACATTTGCGTGCTTTTTAACTAATGTCGCCATGACAACAGTCACTCACCACATTTAAAAGAAGATCACTTCTTACTCTTTGGCATGTGAATTCACCACTGGCACCTGGATGGTATATTTCTGGTCTTTTTTCCCTTTCATGAAGAAAATCGAGGAAGACATGATTTGCCTTCAGCACAACCAGAGCACTAGACTCAATGTAGATATTAAATAAACTTGTTTTTATATAGCACTTTTCCACTTGAGCACTCAAAGAACTTTACAACATGTCTCATACACACACAATTTTTCGATCTTACTATCTTACAGTTGCACACACATTCCAACTCTGACAAACACAATGGGAGAAACTCGGGGTTCAGTATCTTGCATTCACCATTGACCTGTGCTACAGCTAATCCCGTGAGAGCAGTTACCAAGCTTTATGTCAGATTCAATGGGTGTTCATGTTAGCCCATTATGAATTAACAGGAGTCATTCTCTGACATTAATCAACAATGCTGCTTCTTGCTTTTGTTTGTGCACTTTTTATTTGCATGCACCAAGAGAAGAATGCACATGAACATGATTATGAGAACTGGATGATTAAAAATGCAAATATCCAAATTAGAGATATAGTTGACATGTTCATCAAAGATCAAACATTTCCACAACATAAAGTAATTTAGCAAATATGTAGTTACAAAACAGAAGGATAAGAACAACATGACATGTTTAGCATCAAGTGCTAACTGTAAATACCCAGCGGTACAACAGTACAACGTTTAGTTAAAGTTCTGTGTGCATATGTGTGGGTTGTAACTGTATATCAGATACCCACAGTATAAAACTTCCCATTATTTTAATAAGTCAACAACTATAATTTTAATTGTTATATTAATTGTTATGTGGCTGATAATTATAAATATCTGGCTTAGAAAAACATTTTTATTCTTTACTTTGTTTTTTTCTGTGCTCGCTGGTAGAGGCCACATTTCTTTTCTTGAACACCATATTAGGGCTATCCTATCGAACAAAATATTACTACTTTTAAAATCTTAGTCTGTTTTCAAATCGCTACTTTAAGCTTAAATTTTGTTGTTCTGGTCAACAGATTTATGACATATCGTTTGAACTGTGGACACCAAAGCTATGGTGACCAATCAAAAGGGTTTCATAACATTTCGTCTTGTATTATCTAGTATTTTTTACAATCATAATCAATGGATCTTTGAAATCTTTTTAAAATTGTTTTTATAGTACAGTAATTTCACCAATGAGAATTAAGTTTAGCATTACTTACCAGCACCTGGAGTTCTTCTCTGTGGCGGCAGGCATGACGGGCTTTGGGCTGCTGTTTTTGTCTTGTGGTTTGGACAGAAACAGCAGTCATTAAAGTCATGTTAGTCTTACTCAAGCATTTAGTGTCTCATCATACTTGTCTTTACTTATACAAACATGTAAATATAGTAATTAGACAAATTAGAGTATTACTTTTGATGCTATTCAGACACTTTATTTCTCATGTTCTTAATATCAAGCATTTTTGAGCTGCTATATGGATGGAATTTAAAAAGAGTAACTTTACTTACAGTTACTAAGTGTAGCCCAGAAAATCATCTCAAAGTTAAACTGTTGGTAACAGAAGAGAATGCTTTAAGGTGTGCTTTAAAATATATGCAAAAAGACAGCATTGAGGGTTCCTTTAAATCATGGAAAATCATGGAATATGTCCCAGATAATCCCATATTATATTCTCACTAGACTGACTTCGATACTGCATGCTTCTCTGAATCTCTGTAAACATACCAATGAAGCACTATATGCCTTAAAAGGGATTTTATTCTCACGTCCTGCAATATGAACTCATCAACAGTAAGTCTACAGTAAGTATCGGTTGACACCCTAATGTGGGATGCTAAAACTATGTTAGGTTAAAACCACAGCTCTTTCTATTTTAAATTTGTTGCAGATTCACTGACTGATTGAAGTTTATGTTTAAAAATACAAAGAAAATCTACTAGCACACCCACACAGTGTGAGAGAGAGGGGTACAATATCATATAAACTGCAAGGAGTGAAATGTGATTATAATATATTAAGGTTAGTTAAATGATCTGGTATAAAGTAATAGAATAATGTTAGTGTAGTTAGAGTTGTTTATACTTTTTGGGAAATTACTTCACAAAGACACAATGAAGCTCCTTCCGATCGTCTCTATACTTTTACATCAACTCCCTGAATGCAAACTGTATCTGTAGTGCTCTTTCTTGGCATTACGCTTAACTGTTGCTCACTAGTCATTTTCTCTCTTATTAACCTAGCTGCAAAACTTTCCTTTATCATCATGGTATGGCTCATCCACTTCATCCTTCTGTACGTTACTAGATTTATTAA